TATTTTTATGGGTCTTACATGATTTTGCAAGGATAAAGAAATCCAACAAATGATTACAAGTATATTATTTACAAATCATATTTATTTACTCTCATTAAGTTATAAGTATCATTTTGAAACTCACTTTAAATTATATAATATTTATTTAAGTCATATTTATTTACTGTTATCCCTTCCTTTAAACCATGCTATTTTGCAGCAAGATAATGGATGGAACACCACTGTGAGGAAAGGAGATGGTTATATTAGGTATTATCAGCATTTTCTTTATCAAAATTATTTTTTAACATTTTCTTGTTATTCAAATATATTAACTATGTTTACATGCATTGTTGAGATTTGATGGTTATTTTAATTTATTTAATAGTTTTTTTATACTAATGTATTTGGTGAAATATTTTGATTTATTATCACATGTATTGATTAGATTTTATTATTAATCAAATTTAAGGATTAATAATTAATTGAATCAAAATATGTAACTAACGGATTGTCTTTGTAGTATTTGAAATCCTATTGTGAAAGGATGAAAATCTATTATAACTAATATAAAAGTTAAAGTTTCATCATTTCATAATATATTTTATAAACTATGAGTACAAGCCATTAGTCACATGTTTTATATAATTAAATTTTAATATATCTGATTAATGTATGATATTTTATAAATTAAAATATTTCAACTGATACCATAAATTAATGAAATATCAAGAAAAAGTATTAAAATAATTAAGAACATTATCAATCTTTACTATTATATATAAAAAATTTATATTATATCTAAAATCAAAGAATTATGCTGCTAATAAAGTGAATATTCGATCTTTCACATTAAAGACAATACATAATGTAGAAAAACTCATCATGGTAGCATCCAAGTTTAATGCAACCCAATAATCTAAGTAAGAAAATATATAAAACCTTTGCTTTTGTAAGAAATATTAAACAATGTCATTAAACAAATATCACTTAAAAAGATAAAAGTGTATTTGTCATAATAATATTAATAAATTATTCAATGAATTAAAACTTACCCGTTAAAAAATAAACATTTCATTATCTGTTGCAGTGACTTGGATGCTAATATAATAAGGTAGTGAGCTTTTGTATAATATGTAATGTCTTTGCTGTGAAAGATCAAATGTATATTTTATTAGCAGCATAATATCATATAAGAATATTCCAAATTTATTTGATGTATATCAAATTTGGCATTATCTTATTTATTCATATGAAAAAAAGAAAATAAAAGAGCTAATTTCATGTACTTATAAATAGTTATTGTGCAAATAGATAAGAAGAGATGCAATATTTTGGAGGAGATAGCAACTTAGTTGCATTTTCATCATATGATTCACCAAAGTTATTTTTTAACAGTGCATAGTATATATGAGAAATTCACTTTGTTTAATATTGTGAATTGATTAAGTTTTTCTGTGTAGTTAGTACATTAAGTTCCATGAATGTGTTAATTAATATGAGAGTGTAATTTGTTGTTATTTTATGTTTTGTTGTTCTTGCAACCTATTCTTTACAGCTGCTTGTATTAATGAAATTTGATAATTATTTTAATCAATTTAATACTTTTTTATATTAATATTATGGATTTTGTTAGATATATTGGTTAAAATTCCTTATTAATTGAATTTATTCAATAATTAATTGGATCCATTTACCTGACTAATGAATTGTATTTGTAATTTTGAAAATCCTATATGAAAGGATGAATATCTATTATTTGTAATTTTATAATATATTTTACAAAATTAGAAGCAATACCCATGAGTCAGATGTTTGGATTGAAATTATTGTAAACAGCATAAGATAGTAGATGAATAAACATAATAGATACGTAGCCATGAATAGAGTAGGTTTCAAGAATAACAAAACTTGAAATAATGATAAATTACACTCTCAAATGGATTAATGAATGAATGTCCTTTAATGCACTAATATTAGAATGCAATTAACAAGGTGAGTTAGAATGTAAATTATGACAGCAATTTTATGGAAACATGATCTAAGAGCACACTCTCCTTCAAGATTGGATCTGAAATCTGATGCAACATGGTGCCTTCAGCTTCCACAATTATGTGGTTTAGATGTTCATTCAAAGAACTTACAATGTATTTATATGTATCTAACAATTTCAATGTATTCGGTTCTTATTTGTTTGGAGAATGACGTGTAATAGTTTATATTTGATTAAATTAATAATAACAATATTATAGATGTGATTTATTATTTGTTTGCAACGTTTTATGTTTTATTGACAAAAGCATCCATGCATTGCTATCTCATCAGACACTGTCTTCTGGAAATAATTAAAAAATATTGTCCTTTTCTATGATGAATTATAGCCAGTGAATACAAATGGCAGCCATGCAATGTTTAGATTCAAATTCATTAATGTGCGTTACAGCCTTTTAACGTTTTATACATAAAAGCCAAAGTGTAAACAACTTCAATTATCTTAAAATCTATACCACTGCTATTTCTTCGCTTATTGCAATTATTTCTCTGTGGTTTTCAAAAGTTTTCTGTGGTTACTTGGTGCACTATAAATACACCCAACATTCACCTAACACAATCAAAACACTTAGAATAAGAATTTTCATCCTTATTCATATTTTCTTTCAACAGATAAACATTTGGTTGAAGTTCAATCCCTGAGGTGTGCTCTTTCATCTTACACGAGTGAATTTATTTATGCTGCCTTTAGTTTATGCTTCTTTTGCTTTTGTGAATGTTTCTTGCTTTCATTTTCAAAAATACTTGTTGGGATTCCCTTCCCTACATTGATACATTTCTATATATGAGATTAAACATCAATTATTCGACTTACAAAATCTGTTATCAACTTTATTTGTGTTACCGTTATCCAGTCAGAATGAATGACTTCAACATTTCTTACTGTGATTGGTTATGCAAAAAAAAATACGAAGCTCATGTGCAGTTTGAAATGATGGCGTTTACTCAAGAATATAACCACACACCAATCAATATGGTTTGGGACCTCATGGAAAACATCTAGGCAATTCTCTGAATATAGATTGTGAATTTCATGTGTTTTTTTCTTTATTTTCTATTGTGTTTTTTGTTCTTTCAAGATATGTTTATCGTGTTCCTAAGTTAATAATATTAATAATTTGTTGCTTATTGTGATAGAATTAAACAAACACAATTTTCATTATGATTAATATCTGGATGTAAAATTGATAACGTGTTAAAAAACTGTTGCACAGAGAGATGTTATTCAGAAATAATATTTCATGTATTTGTGATTTTACAAACAGGTAAGAAAAAATCCAAGAAATGGATGCAAGTATGTTATCTCGATGCATCAAAATCAAGAGATGAAGCTGCTAATCAAATCAACTATCTGATCTTTCACACAGTAAAGACATTACAATATTAATTGTATTATTAGTCATTTTATCAATAAATGATTAAAGCTGTTTTAATTACAGTGAGTTTGATTGGTACAACAGATTATTGTCATTTTATCAATAAATGCCAAATTGATTGTTAGATTCAACAGCCCAAGCTGACACTTTTTTAAGGTCTGCAGAACTGATACATGCAGACACAAGAAAATGTTATTACGTTAGGAACTGTTAGGACAGAAACTGATTCATGGTGTTTGGATACAAATGGCATCCATGCAATGTTCATATTCAAATTCACTTATGAGATACAACAGCTGTAAATAACTTTAATTTAAAGGAAATTATATTAAAATAAATTATATACATGCAATGTTATTTCTTTATTCTCATTTTTCATTAAAAACTTGCTTTTCACATTTAACTGGTTTAATGCTAACAGACGTTGGAATTCAAAATGGAACTCCAGCAGACATTATCTTTCATTCTTTTTTAAGCTTTTTTTTTTATAGTTTCGATTAAAGTTTTATTTTGTTTGATGCAAATTATGTATTTGTGTGACATAGTGTATAGAATAAGCTATACTGCTGTTTTGTAACATAATATTATGAATCCCAATCAGCATAATGGTATATAAAATAACATAATGATTATTTTCTGTTGGTACACTATACTCTATAATTTAGATGAAATATGTGCATATTCATACTAACTGTGATTAGAGAGTTTTGCACGAATATAGTTTAAACTTTAAAGAGGGTAAAATTTTTATACCCGTCATAACAATTAGCAACATTGCTTTTCCTAAGGGTTTTTATAACTGTGAGAATCATAATTTTCGGAAGTTAAAATCATCATAAATATTGAAAAAAACCTTGATAAAATTCAATATTTTTTATAATCACTACGTTTTTCTTTTGTGTTTATTCCACAAAATCTTTTCAATTACTTAAATTTTAATGCAAACAATAAATGATCTGATACATTAATTAATAATTTATTTTTAAATAATTTAACACTGAAGCATTAATGTAGCATTGAGACTGGCACATAACAAAAAAACAAATGCGGTATTAATTACTGATTTTTGTATCTACACTCTTCCAGAAATAATTAAATTAAAATTGTTAAAGAAAATATTTACAAAGAAAAGTAATAACTTTGGTTTGTAAACAAAAGAAGTTTAAATCTGACCTGATGAGACACGATTATTATTTTTATCTTTACTTAATACAATGATACATGAACTTTTAGCAAAAATGTTAATCGGAAATCATAATACTATGTGTTAATGTTAATCTATTTAACATTATAAACCACTTGTATGTTGAAATGAAGCTTTGATGAGAAAAGTAAATGATAATGAATATATTAAACCATTTCATAATAATTAATTAATAATATATATAATCAAATTAAGTTCTTTTATTACCCATGCTTTTAAATGATAATGAATATATTATAGTAAAAATAGAGTATGAAAAGAAATATCATTAGCATGATAAAAAAATATATCTTGAGATTAAAAGCCATAAAATCGGAATACATTTAACATGATTTAGTTACTTTTGCATGTACTCTCAAATAATATCATTTGTTCTCTTCAAACATATTAAAATGAAACAAAAACATATGAAAAATTTAGTAAAAAATTACATAAAAGTAATAGGCACTCGAACAATTAAAAAAGGAGCAGCTTGAACATGTTTTCTGAAAAGAAAATTAATCAGTATTAGTATAAGAAACAAAGATAAATGTAGATAATCACAACATTGAATAATCTATTACTCACCTGATGTCTCGATGATGTATTTACATATTCTTAACTTTTTTACTTTGTATAACTCTTCGAGAGTACTGCATTACAGAAAACATCATAAAAAAATGTAACCTCAAACTAATAAAATCTTTTTCAACATCATCCATTACCCACAGTTATAAGGTATCACACTACTCATCTTTCACATCAAAATTTTCAACTCATGCAAGATCAAAATTTTCAACACATACAGTAATTTTTACATACTAACCTGATAGACAGTGTAATGTTTTTGCTGTGAAAGATGACATCGTTCATTTGATTAGCATCAGCATCCCTCGATTTTTTATGCATTGAGATAACATACTTGTATACATTTCCCGGATCTCTTCTTTTCTAATTGATAAAAAAAGACATTTTAAAAGATGGAATAATAGAAAATATTATCTGTGAATAAGATATCTCTGACACATTTTTAAAAACATGGTAAGAAAATCATGGCAAACTGGTGTTCAGAAAGAAAAAAAACTAAGCTTTCTGTATCACTTAGCAATCCTACTAAACTTGTGATGAGTTCTACCATTGTTTTCTTGCCAAAAAGATTATAAGTTATCTGACTCTTCATATTATCAGTTGGCATTTCATAGTTACATAATATTTTCTCATATCAAAGTAAAAGTAAAACTTAAATAAGATTAGAATTGTGAACCTAAAAAGAGAAAGAATCATCTTACAGTGTCACTTCTTTCAATTTTGTTTCTGTAGAGTTCCCATGTTTGCTGAATCTTCTTCTAACTCATCAAGAATATAAGTTGGCTTCTTTATACTTGATCTTTCACGAAGCCGATCAGCAAAACTATTCACATTCTGCTACGATAGAATTTTCTCATAAGAAAGAATTCAGATTATGCTATGATAGAAAAGCAGAAAAAACACCAGAAAACTTTTTGTATCAATCAAGGAAATAAATTAAAATTTTAGGGAAGAAGCAACTTACAGTATCAATTGAATCACTTTTCACAATGTGTTTTTTAGGTCTCCCTGGTTTCCTAGGGAGAATAACTGAATCGTTAGAATCTTCAATAATTTTTTTCGCTTCCTTTGACGGGAGCTTCTAGGAAGTCGTTCAACCAAGCCACCCACATTCTGCTAAGATACAATTTTCTCATAAGCATGCATAAATATATAACTAAACATATAATACCAAGCAAAACTTAAAATATTTTACCAAATAATTCTAAACATCTTTTACATTTATCAACAACTTTACCGCAAAATATCATTACTGATTGAGCAATTCCCACAATGCCTTAAATCATATTAAAATTGCTAACACAAAAATGTGAACTAACTTACAGTATCATTTCCATCAACTTTCACATCGTTTTCTGCATATTTGTCATGTTCTCTATGGAAAATCATTGGATGTTGAATCGAATGACTCATTTTCTGCTTAAAAAATGTAGAATTTATGCTTAATAAAGAGAGAACGTCAGAATAATTAATAAAATATTTAAAACAACTTGCTATCGAAATAAAAATACATTTAATACATCTTATCATACCATGACCATGACTATTTAAATAAGCTATAATCAATTTTGTAGTAGTGTATCGATAATAAAAAAGAACATTTTATTAATGTTATACATTACTAATTCTCCCATTCTCCTGTAGTAAATAAAAGCATATTCTTTAAGTTAAAATATTATTTTTCTGCTAATAAAAAAATAAATAAAAATATCTCAAAAATGTCAAAATTTTATAATATGATTACAAAATTGTCAAAAATATATACTCAATTTCTTTAAATTTAATTCATATAAGATATTATTTATAATGTTTAACTTTTCCATGTTAGTTGTTAAATAAATTTGAGACCTCAAATAAAATTAATAAAATTTGGTTAAAAAAATTAAATTTTAAAAATGAGAAACTAAATTAATCTAAAATTTAAAAAAGAAAATCATATATATAATTAAGAGATAAAAAATATATTTAACTTAATTTAATAAGTTAAAGTGTTGCAAGTTTTAAAACGTAGATCTGAAGAGGAATGTACGTGATGATTATGTAATGTTTTTGCTGTGAAAGATAAAATCTTTATTTGATCAGCAGCCGCCATTGATTTTTGATGTATGCATTTGTTGCTGGATCTCTTCTTACCTGATAATAAAATCACAGAATATTAAACAATAGAAAATATAATTTGTAAATAAGATGGTATAAACTAACATAATGTCTAAAAAATTGTAAGTTCTAAATTCTGTTCTGAGATAGATAGACTATTTTATTTTTTTTCCTTGTGAGATGAATAAATGAAGTGATTTGTTAATGTAGTTAGATGCATATATGTTAAAAAAATGGTTAAAAATAAACATAATTAAACTTACTGTGATAGAAGAGCTTCTGCATTTAGACTTCCAACCAAACCAAAATATGAAAGACAAAAGGAAGCGGCGTAAGCGAAGAAGAGGAATGAGGCGTGAAACTTAGGGTTTTAGGTTAGCTTTATAGCCGAGGCCCACTGTCTCTTCACTCTGTTTGTAGTTCTAAAAATTTTAAATAANTGAGTGCATAGAAATAGTAAGCCAAATGCACATACTTACACAAATCTTTTAAGTTATATAACACTATTAGACATTAGACACATTGTCTGACCGAAATCATATATCATTATACGTTGGACGCCCTAACTAGGTAACGTCTAATGGATCCCGAATGCATTTTTATACTCAATATGATACGAAGATGTCAATCCATTGACCAATTTATCAAATAAAAAAGTATCTAGACAGCAAAATGTGTTTATAGATTTCTTTCTTAATTTTGTTAGGATGTTTTAATATTTTGTTCACAAGTTACAATTCTACATTATTACTAACTTCTCTTAAATTTAAAAAAAAAAACTTAACATCAAATGACTTCTTAGGAAAAAAAATATCATTAATAGTGATAAAGGATTTTTTATTGTAAAAGACATACTTTTATTATTTAGTATTTTTAGTTTGGATTATATTAAATATAACAGCTTTATTTAATAAAATTGAAAAAAAATCAGTAATTAAAATAATAATAAATCCTTAAAAAATAATTATCGATTTGATTTTTAATTGTTTTTAGATTCAAATATTTCATATTCTCTTTTTTAATTGTCTTTAAAGCTAGCTTTACTTAGTAATTATACTCGTCTCCCTCAATTTATATATCTTATTAATATATAACTTAGTATGAAACATTTATAATATTTGACTAATTGATAATTTTTTCATTAAATAAAATTTTATTTCATTTATACCAATTTTACCAAGTTGTTCATATATTATGATGCATATTCTACAATATTATCATTTTATGTCTATTTTAATGTTTTAAGAAATTAAATTATTGGTTTTATTTAATAAAAGTAATTAAATAATGATAGAATTTTTACAACCACACATATAATTGAATAGACACCACACGAATAATTAAATAGTAGACAGTGGGCCTCTTATTCCTCTATATAAACTCCACCTAAAACCCTAAAATTCACACACGACTCTCACAGTTTTCTCTCATCTTTCCTTTCTTTCTCGCCGCTTCCTTTTCATCTTTTTCTTTTTTTCATATCCTTTCTTTTTTTTCTTCCTTTCTTTTACTTTCTACTTATCCATATTCTTGTTTCTGCTTTCTGATAAGTTTTCATAGAGTAGATCTTCATATTTTTAAATTTATAAATACATGAAACCTTAATTTATATTAATATATTATGTTTGAAAAACATGCTTTAAACTGTTAAGATCTGGTTTATGTATTTCTATATTTTGAATATATTTTTACATATACAATTTTGTTCTTTTTCATTCAGTGGTAAGCATTATGTTTATTTTTAACAATTTCTTTCAATATATATATTTAGTTACATTAACAAATCACTTCATTTATTCATTTCTTTCATACAAGAAAGTAAAATAGTCTATCTATCTCAGAAATTTAATGCTTAAATTTTTTTAGACATTATGTTAGTTTCTACAACCACGAACTGTGGCAGAAATCCTCATTCACAGATTATATTTCTTATTATTGGATCTTCTAAACAATGTGATTTTGCAAGGGATAAAGAAATCCAACAAATGCATACAAGTATATTATTTACAAATCATATTTATTTACTCTCATTAAGTTATAAATATCATTTTGAAACTCAATTTAAATTATATAATATTTATTTACAAGTCATATTTATTTACTGTTATCTCATCCTTTAAACCATGCTATTTTGCAGCAAGATAATGGATGGAACACCATTGTGAGGAAAGGAAATGGTTATATCAGGTATTATCAGCATTTTTTTTTATCAAAATTATTTTTTTACATTTTCACTTGTTATTCAAATATATTAACTATGTTTACATTGTTGAGATTTGTGTTATTTTAATTTATTTAATAGTTTTTTTTATATTAATGTATTTGGTGAAATATTTTGATTTATTATCACATGTATTGATTAGATTTTATTATTAATCAAATTTAAGGATTAATAATTAATGAAATCAAAATATGTAACTAATGGATTGTCTTTGTAGTATTTGAAATCCTATTGTGAAAGGATGAAAATCTATTATAACTAATATAAAAGTTAAAGTTTCATCATTTCATAATATATTTTATAAACTATGAGTACAAGCCATTAGTCACATGTTTAATATAATTAAATTTTAATATATGTGATTAATATATGATATTTTATAAATTAAAATATTTCAACCGATACCATAAATTAATGAAATATCAAGAAAAAGTATTAAGATAATTAAGAACATTATCAATCTTCACTGTTATATATAAAAATTTATATTATATCTAAAATCAAAGAATTATGCTGCTAATCAAGTGAATATTCGATCTTTCACATTAAAGACAATACATAATGTAGAAAAACTCATCATGTTAGCATCCAAGTTTAATGCAACACATCTAAGTAAGAAAATATATAAAAGCGTTAAGCAAGAAATATTAAACAATGTCATTAAACATTATCTGTTGCAGTGACTTGGATGCTAATATAATAAGGTAGTGAGATTTTGTATAATATGTAATGTCTTTGCTGTGAAAGATCAAATGTATATTTTATTAGCAGCATAATATCATATAAGAATATTCCAAATTTATTTTATGTATATCAAATTTGGCATTATCTTATTTATTCATAAAAGAGCTAATTTCATGTACTTATAAATAGTTATTGTGCAAATAGATAAGAAGAGATGCAATATTGTGGAGGAGATAGCAACTTAGTTGCATTTTCATCATATGATTCACCAAAGTTATTTTTTAACAGTGCTTAGTATATATGAGAAACTCACTTTGTTTAATATTGTGAATTGATTAAGTTTTTCTGTGTAGTTAGTACATTAAGTTCCATGAATGTGTTAAATAATTTGAGAGTGTAATTTGTTGTTATTTTATGTTTTGTTGTTCTTGCAACCTATTCTTTACAGCTACTTGTATTAATGAAATTTGATAATTATTTTAATCAATTTAATACTTTTTTATATTAATACTATGGATTTTGTTAGATATATTAATTGGATCCATTTACCTTACTAATGAATAGAATAGGTTTCCAGAATAACAAAACTTGAAATAATGATACATTACACTCTCAAATGGATTAATGAATGAATGTCCTTTAATGCACTAATATTAGAATGCAATTAACAAGGTGAGTTAGAATGTAAATTATTACAGCAATTTGATTGAAAGATGATCTAAGAGCACACTCTCCTTCAAGATTGGATCTGAAATCTGATGCGACATGCTGGCTTCAGCTTCCTCAATTATGTCGTTTAGATGTTCATTCAAAGAACTCAATGGCTGCAATGTAATGTATTTATATGTATTCGGTTGTTATTTGTTAGTAACATGACGTGTAATAGTTTATATTTGATTAAATTATTAATAACAATATTATAGATGTGATTTATTATTTGTTTGCAACGTTTTATGTTTTATTGACAAAAGCATCCATGCATTGCTATCTCATCAGACACTGTCTTCTGGAAATAATTAAAAAATATTGTCCTTTTCTATAATGAATTATAGTCAGGGAATACAAATGGCAGCCATGCAATGTTGAGATTCAAATTCATTAATGTGCGTTACAGCCTTTTAACGTTTTATACATAAAAGCCAAAGTGTAAATAACTTTAATTATCTTAAAATCTATACCACTGCTGTTTCTTCGCTTATTGCAATTATTTCTCTGTGGTTTTCAAAAGTGTTCTGTGGTTATAAATACATCCAACATTCACCTAACACAATCAAAACACTTAGAATTTTCATCCTTATTCATATTTTTTCTTTCAACAGATAAACATTTGGTTGAAGTTCAATCCCTGAGGTTTGCTCTTTCATCTTACACGAGTGAATTTATTTCTGATGCCTTTAGTTTATGCTTCTTTTGCTTTTGTGAAAGTTTCTTCCTTTCATTTTCAAAAATACTTGTTGGGATTCCCTTCCCTACATGGATACATTTTCATATATCAGATTAAACTTCAATTATTCAACTTACAAAATCTGTTATCAACTTGATTTGTGTTACCGTTATCCAGTCAGAATGAATGACTTCAACATTTCTTACTGTGATTGGTTATGCAAAAAAAATACGAAGCTCATGTGCAGTCTGAATATAGAGTGTGAATTTCATGTGTTTTTTTCTTTATTTTCTGTTGTATTTTTTGTTCAGTTTCAAGATATGTTTATCGTGTTCCTAAGTTAATAATATTAATAATTTGTTGCTTATTGTGATAGAATTAAACATACACAATTTTCATTATGATTAATATCTGGATGTAAAATTGATAACTTGCACAGAGAGATGTTATTCAGAAATAATATTTCCTATATTTGTGATTTTACAGACAGGTAAGAAAAAATCCAAGAAATGGATGCAAGTATGTTATCTCGATGCATCAAAATCAAGAGATGAAGCTGCTAATCAAATCAACTATCTGATCTTTCACAGTAAAGACATTACAAATGGCAGCCATGCAATGCTTAGATTCAAATTCATTACTGTGCATTACAACCTTCTGAGATGCCACTTTATTTATTTGTTCTCATTTTTCATTAAAAACTTGTTTTTACATTTTAACTGGTTTAATGCTATTAATTAGGTAGAGAAAGGATATTGAGAAATTATATTTTCTCTTATTCCATCTTGTAAACCATTCCAACAAATGCATGTAAGTATATGTTATCTCAATGTATCAAAAATCAAGAAATGTTGCTGCTAATCTAATAAAAGATTTCATCTTTCACAGCAAAATCATTACAGTATAATCAGGTTAGCATCTCAAAAATACTTGAACATATAAATGCTGCTCAGATCTATCTGTTTTACTTATTATATTAGCTAAAAGAAATTGGAAAAAAAGGTTTTGTGTTTCTTAATGATATTTACTTACCCGTAAATACTAATAAGAATAACTAAATAATATTGTAGAATATTACAGACAATTTTTGTTCTCGCATGTGTGTTGAGAAATTTGATATTAAAAAAATAGTATTGAGATACCTAAACTGTTTTATAATGTTTTAAAAGGAAAATATAATGTAAAGTCGAAAGGAATATTTGTTTTACTAAAACTAGATATGTTTTTCTTATGGTCGTCGATAATTATCGAAGAACAAATCCTAAATCGAAGAAAAAAGTTGACAGTAATTACCACAAAAATCTGTCGGTAATTATGGAAGAAAAAAGTCATCTGTAAGTCCGTCGGTAAATATCTCGATCTGGTTCATCTTCTTTCTCTTTCTCCTTCTTCTATTTTCTTAGATTTTATTTTTTTTTATCAAACTTTCTTCATTTCTAAAACCAAAACAACAATCCAATTCATTCCAAAATCAAAATCAAAAAAACTAAACTTAGGTTGTCCAATTGTTTTAAAAATTCTAAAATTGAAAAAAATCCTCAACTAGTTTTTAAGATAGCTGGCTCTACTAAGTTTCTTGAGAAAGTAGAGAAATTTTCTGAAAATAAAAAGCCAATAAGTAAAACACTGGTCAAACTTTCGGTCAAGTTTGTTTTTCCTTTCCAATAATGCGTCCTGTCTTGTAATCCTATATCTACCTCAGATGCTTGCATTAAAGTGTTACCTCGTTAAATGGAAACCAATGCATGTCTTTCATCTGACACTGTATGAAGAATGCAAAGATGCTGCTGCTTTAATATTTTTGCTGTTTCCATACATGTGTTCTGCCATTGTGCAGAAGATAAGAAGAGCATCATCTTAAAAAAAAAAGCTACACAGTTATTTCCATGCACGGCTGAGTATTTGAATTGCCATTTTTGTGTAAAATGATAAAACTTTTTACCTTTGCCATATTCTAATATCAAATGGTTGATTTGATTAACAGTGTCAAAACCAATGCTTTATAATAAGAATAACTAATAACTTTTTATAGAGAAAACCAACTTAATACAATGGTAATGTGTTAGGGTATTCTTTGTAAACAAAATTTCAAATCTGACCTGGTGAGACAAGATTATTATTTTTATTATTTTTATCCATTGTATCTTTTTTATCTTTACTTAATGCATGCAAAAATGTTAATTGGGAATCATGAACAGCATTATCGGTGGAATCCTTATACTGTTTTGCAGAAGTCTTGTGTTCTACTTAGTTCACCATCTCAATACTACATTAATGTGTTAATGTTAATGTTAATCTATTTAACATTATAAACCACTTGTATGTTGAAATGAAGCTTTGATGAGAAAAGTAAATGATAATGAATATATTAAACCATTTCATAATAATTAATTAATAATATATATAATCAAATTAAGTTCTTTTATTACCCATGCTTTTAAATGATAATGAATATATTATAGTAAAAATAGAGTATGAAAAGAAATATCATTAACATGATAAAAAAATATATCTTGAGATTAAAAGCCATAAAATCGGAATACATTTAACATGATTTAGTTAAATTTGCATGTACTCTCAAATAATATCATTTGTTCTCTTCAAACATATTAAAATGAAACAAAAACATAAGAAAAATTTAGTAAAAAATTACATAAAAGTAATAGACACTCGAACAATTAAAAAAGAGCAGCTTGAACATGTTTTCTGAAAAGAAAATTAATCAGTATTAGTATAAGAAACAAAGATAAATATAGATAATCACAACAATGAACAATCTATTACACACATGATCTCTCGATGATGTATTTACATATTCTTTAACTTTTTGTATAACTCTTCGAGAGTACTGCATTACAGAAAACATCATTAAAAAAATGTAACCTCAAACTAATAAAATCTTTTTCAACATCATCCATTACCCACAGTTATAAGGTATCACACTACTCATCTTTCACATCAAAATTTTCAACACATGCAAGATCAAAATTTTCAACACATACAGTACTTTTTACATACTAACCTCGTGACAGTGTAATGTTTTTGCTGTGAAAGATGACATCGTTCATTTGATTAGCATCAGCATCCCTCGATTTTTTGTGCATTGAGATAACATACTTGTATACATTTCCCAGATCTCTTCTTTTCTAATTAATAAAAAAAGACATGATTTAAAAGATGGAATAATAGAAAATATTATCTATGAATAAGATATCTCTGACACATTTTTAAAAACATGGTAAGAAAATCATGGCAAACTGGTGTTCAGAAAGAAAAAAACTAGAGCTTTCTGTATCACTTAGCAATCCTACTAAACTTGTCATGAGTTCTACCATTTTGTCAAACATTATAAGTTATCTGACTCTTCATATTATCAGTTGGCATTTCATAGTTACATAATATTTTCTCATATCAAAGTAAAAGTAAAACTTAAATAAGATTAGAATTGTGAACCCAAAAAGAAAAAGAATCATCTTACAGTGTTACTTCTTTCAATTTTGAAGTATTTTCTGTAGGGTTCCCATGTTTGCTGTGATGATATCTAAATCTTCTTCTAACTCATCAAGAATATAAGTTGGCTTCTTTGTACTCGATCTTTCACGAAGCCGATCAGCAAAACTATTCACATTCTGTACGATAGAAATTTCTCATAAGCAAGCCATTCACATTATGTTATGATAGAAAAGCAGAAACAACACCAGAAAACTTTTTGTATCAATCAAGGAAATAAATTGAAATTTTAGGGAAGAAGCAACTTACATTATCAATTGAATCACTTTTCTTTTTTTGGTCTCCCTGGTTTCCTAGGGAGAATAACTGAATCGTTAGAATCATCAATAATATTTGTTCGCTTCCTTTGACGGGAGCTTCTAGGAAGTCCTTCATTTTCTGCTTAAAAAATGTAGAATTTATGCTTAATAAAGAGAGAACGTCAGAATAATTAATAAAATATTTAAAACAACTTGCTATCGAAACAAAAATACATTTAATACATCTATCATACCATAACCTATGACTTTTTAAATAAGCTATAATCAATTTTGTAGTAGTGTATTGATAATAAAAAAGAACATTTTATTAATGTTATACATTACTAATCCTCCCATTCCCCTGTAGCAAATAAAAGCATATTCTAAGCGACAATAAAATTCAGTAGCATTTTTTATACATATATATACATGGCATGTGAGTTCGAAAGTAATTTTTTCAAATCTGCAGTAAATTTTTTTATTAACATTGAAATTTTAAAAATTAAAAATATAATACATTTATCAGATGAATGTGAGCTTTTATTATAGTTAAAGCTAAAATTATGTAACTTAATAGCATATCAACTTAAATTTTAATAATAAATTTCTATTTATTCTATTACATTGATTCCTTGTTAGCTAAGGATTATTACTTCCAATTTGAAGTAATATAAAACAACATTCATTGTTCTCATTACTTAATATTAACTTTTTTGTATTAAATTATTAGGTAATAATTTAATTATTTAATTATTCCTTTACAAAATTAAAAAACCTTTTCAATGACGTACATATATACTATAAACAATTATAACATTTACATCTATATATAATAAACTCATTTGTACAAAAATATATTATCTATCTGATAAAAAAATATCATATAAGAATAACTGACTTTGGATGAGAAATAATATTACATGAAATTCAAATTATTTAAAGTTAAAATATTAGTTATCTGCTAATAATAAAAATAAAAAAAATATCTCAAAAATGTCAAAATTTTATGATATGATTACAAAATTGTCAAAAATATATACTCAAAATTTCTTTAAATTTAATTCATATAAGATATTATTTATAATGTTTAACTTTTCCATGTTAGCTGTTAAATATATTTGAAACCTCGAATAAATTTAATAAAATTTGGTTAAAAAAATTAAATTTTAAAAATGAGAAACTAAATTAATCTAAAATTTAAAAAAGAAAATCAAATATATAATTAAGAGATAAAAAATATATTTAACTTAATTTAATAAGTTATTGCAAAGTTTTAAAACATGTAGATCTGAAGAGGAATGTAGTTTTGATATACTAACTTGATGATTATGTAATGTTTTTGCTGTGAAAGATAAAATCTTTATTTGATCAGCAGCCGCCATTGATGCATGCATTTGCTGGATCTCTTCTTACCTGATAATAAAATCACAGAATATTTTTGTTAATGTAATTAGATGCATATGTTAAAAGAAATGGTTAAAAATAAACATAATTAAACTTACTGTGAGAGAAGAGCTTCTGCATTTAGACTTCCAACCAAACCAAAATATGAAAGACAAAAGGAAGCGGCGTAAGCGAAGAAGAGGAATGAGGCGTGAAACTTAGGGTTTTAGGTTAGCTTTATAGCCGAGGCCCACTATCTCTTCACTCTGTTTGTAGTTCTAAAAATTTTAAATAAAATTTTACTCAATAAGAAAATAATTTTAGTGTTTGTAAAAAAATACCAAAAGTATTTAAATATTAGTTTATAAATTATAAATAATTTGTTTATATAATAGCCTTTATAATAAATAAAAAATTATAATTAATAACTAATTATATTCTATCACAACATTAATTATCAAGGTTTTGAGTACAAAAGAATTAGTATCTAAATTTTTCATTAATTGTAATTTTTTATTTATAATAGTGACTATTTTAAAGACTATTAATTAATAGTTTATAAATTAATATTTAAATTAATCAATTATTTTTTGTCTATAAAATTAATAACTTTTTAAAAGTTTTTTATAATGAAATAAGTATTTAGTTTTAAAAAATATGTAATAAAATAAATTCTAATTATTGTTACTTAAAGTCATAAATATCAATATTATATATTTATTTGTACTAAGGCTAAATATGTAGTATTTAATAATAATTTAGACAAAATATATTAATGAATAAATGAATGGCTTCTACAATAAAATTTTATGTCTAACATCCCAAAATATAATATAAAACTATATAATACTTATGACAATTTTTAATAATAACAAGATTAGTCCACATAGGAACTATAAAATTCTAATAGTCATCCAAAATAATCATGAAGTAATTTTATATACACATTAACTAATCAAAACTATATACAAGGTAACTAACTAATGCTACTAAACATTAGCAGTTCCCCCATTTAGTGCCTACTCCAGAGAAACCTCATCACTCTCTACTCATATCCACCGAATTATCATAGCAAAGAAAGGAAGTAAAAATACATACAAACACAATTACAAGAAAAATGGTAAGTTAGATATTGAAACAATTCATATAATACACCAACATATTCATACATCAAGCATCATACATACTTAAACCATCACATAATACAATAGATACTTCTACATCATCCTCAAAGTTAAAGCATAACTCAAAGTTATCAGAAAACAAATAAAGAAATAATCAAAATAGGTTCTAGACTAGTAGCTCATTGCACAGGCTCGCTATGCGAAGATGAAAACAATGGGTTCTTTTCGCTCAGCCACTACACTCGCTCAGCTACAAATTTTTTGCTCGCTCAACTATAATACATTGATTAAATATAATAAATCAAATAAATACATACAAACAGTTGACACTAGACTCAATTATCCAAATATAAACATTGATGTGAAATCTCAGGAACCTTTCACTTGTGTTTGTCTCTACTGCTTTAGAGAATCATTGCCATACACAAGATTAGTCCATTATTATCTTTAATCAAGGTAAAATCCCCTATATTAGAACATTCTGCATTTCTCACATTGCAAAATAGACTTTCAACGTCTATCGTTCAACATTTTTAATATTAAGAAAACATTTTTTAGATTAAAGTGTTTTGCGTTTTCTATTTTATAAAACATTTACTTGTAATTACTATGTTTTAGGATAACACAAATAATTATAATTTTTTCCAACTATGGTGGATTATGATATTTGTATATGTAAGTTAACCTAATTGGTTAAAAGTTTTAGCATTTCCTTTCTTCTTCACTCTTTCACTCTTATTTGTTGGACTATAAAACTAAATCTTTTTTTTAGTAAGTGATTTTGTTCACACTCTACTCATGCACAAATTTTAGAGGTATATAACTAAGTACAAAAACAATTTTCAAATTAACATAGATTTTAAAATGTCTTGCATTTATTGTAACATCCTATTTTAATAGTATAAAACTACTAAAATATTAAGTAACATATATGATAATAAAACCACTTAGATGAAAACAAACTTACAAGAAGACAATAAATCTAGGGTTAAATATGTTTTTAGTCCCTAAACTATTGACCGTTTCTGGTTTTCGTCCCTCCCTTTCAAAGTAAGGTACAATTTATAGTCCTCATCTTTAAAAAACGCTTTCTTTTAGTCGAAAAAACGAGTTTTGAAGGACTAAAACAAGGACTAAAAACAAAATTTTGAGGACTAAAACGAACGTTTTTTCTAAGAAATGAGGACCAAATTGTACCTTACTTTGGAAGAGGACGAAAACCAGAAACGGCCAATAGTTAGGGCCTAAAAACATATTTAACCCATAAATCTACATTTGTAAACCTATTTAATGACTCATCTATTTTTGCTCTCACATCTCGTTGGAAACAACCGAAAGTACTGTCTGTCAATAAGCTCACACCGTAAGGTGATCAACCACACAAAGAGAAACCAACACATAGATAGACAAGAACAAAAGCAAGGGTAAGCTAGATACAAGACAAGTCATATAACATTTATAACATAGCATACATGAATCATATATATAACATACATCAACCTAAACATCTTAACATACAAGGACCTAGACTGACTATCTGAATATTATATGGAATGTCGAGTTGCAAAGGTTCCTGCACTAATGTGGTGGAAGAGCTGGACTACCTCAAGCTACCACACCAGGTTAGTCCTTAAAATGCCCTTTTTCCAAATGGAGAAAGACCCCTCAAGCTAAGACCTCGTACTATTCTCACGATATGACTCATCACTCTCTACTTGAGCGTGGATGATCATTAGAATGTCAAGATAAACCCTAGCTTAACTCCGATCATTCATACTAACAACACTTGAAACCACCAACAAGAAGTTTCTCAATGGAACTATTTTCACAATTTTCAAACAGTTGATATCACTTCACATTCACACAGTATACCAATATCTTGGAACTCATTTTCACAACTTTGAAACCATTTAACCACATGTTCCAAACCATACCAAACATTCCATAATATATATGATAATGCTAAATTTTACCATTATCTAAGCATCATTTTAAGTAGCAAAATCAACTCCTTTCTAACTTATAACTTGTTAAATCCTCTTCTTTTGTCTTGTTTTTTGAATAATTGTGTTTTTGGCTACTTTGATGTACTTTCATCAATAATCCCTTATTTTGTAGCTAAAAATGAGCTTGGAAGAGTCTTCAACAATTATAGATTGGGAACCAAGAAGTTAAGCACGCAGAAACGCGTCAACCATCGAAATAACCTCGCCAGTGACGACAGAGAGGACACTCGCTCCGGTAGGAGAATAGTACGCCTCGTCCAGCAAAGGGAGAACGAGGAGGACGCTCGTTCAGAGTGAAAAGCACGGCGGACGCTCGTCAGCGAAGACACTCAGTGGACGCTCCGCCAGGCAGAAGTGGACGCTCGTCCAGCCAAGCAGAAGAGGACGCTCGTTCAGAGTGGAAGCACGAGCGGACGCTCGTCAGCGAAGACACTCAGTGGACGCTCCGCCAGGCAGAAGTGGACGCTCTCCAGCAGCACAGAGGACTTCGTCCACCAGGGAGAAGTGGACGCTCTTCCAGCCAGGCAGGGCGCTCGTCCAGCGAAGAGAGCAGTGGACGCTCGTCCAGCTATGCAGAAGAGGACGCTCGTCCAGATTTCAGTGGACGCTGCCTTTCTAGATGGTCCGCGCCCGGGCGCGACAGTGGGGCGCCAGACGCGATTTTCCAGAGAGTTTCGCGCCCGAGCGTGAGAAATGGGGCGCCCGGGCGTGACTTTCCAGAGGGGTTCGCGCCCGGGCGCGACTGATGGGGCGCCGGGTGCGACTTTTGCTGATGTTTCAAATTCAGCTTATTTAGCCCTAAAACGCGAAGGGGAAAGGGTCTTTGGTTCTTTGGAAGCGCGATTTCACTCAGAGGAGAGCTTTGAGGGCTGCTAGGGTTCGTGGGAACACTCCCTTCTTCCTCTTGGGTTCTTCATCTTCTTCCATGGCCATTTTGTAAGCTTAAAGGCTCTCCATGGGAATGGAGAGCCAAACCCATCTTGTTGGGATTAGTTGTAGCTTTTGAATCTTGTGTAATTATTGAATGATTTGAATATATATATATATGCCTTTTCTATCAATTGCTAGTATTCTTGTTTCCGATCTTAAAGCTTGCATGTAATGGGGACGTTCATGACTTGATTTTGGGGTTTCATGGATTATGGGGACGTAAGATGAAATCTTGAATTGAAATAAGAGTCCTTGTGGTCATTGATTCTAGGGATGGAAGATGATTCACATGTTGTCTTAAGATCCTAGCTCTTTAATGCGGGTTTGCTTGTTAGATTGTCCAAGGGATTGGAGTTTGATAAGGAAAACCTAGGCTTTTTCACCTAAGGGATTAGGGCTAGAGTGTTTTAGTGGATTGACTTTAGTAAATTGATAGAGAGGAGATGAAATTGGTTATACACAAGAATGCATTGGTGAAAACTAACCTTAACAATGTCATTTCATACCATTTCTAGTCTTTTCCATTTCCAAGTGCCTTCAATACCAAAGTCCAACCTTGTAATTACTTGTGAATTTATCTTTTTGCACATATTCTTAAATGATGAGTTGTTCTTGAGTCTAGATGAGTTGTTAATCGCACAATTTTCTAGTATTACGAGTCTCTTGGGAAAACGATACCTGGTCTTACCACGGTTTATTACTTGAACGATTCGGTCCGTTTGTCGAAATCGGCCAACAATATACCAAACACACCTTAAATTATCAATGTAATTATCCTTCATAAAAAAAATAAGAGAGAAATACAAAACTCATCATCATCATATATCATACATAATCATATACATAATCTTGTTTCCATTTCATATTATAAAACAATTCATACTTCACAATAAGCATTGTAAGCCAATCATTCAAATAATCACAGACATTGAACATACCTGAAGAAGTATACAAAAACTTAGTTGAAATTCTGGTATTTTCCCTCAATCACCAGGTCTGCTTGCTCAACTAAAAGTGTCTGCCAACCCACTCGCTCAATCAGCATGACTCTATCTGCAAATATAGAAACAATGAGTTTTGCTCGCGCAATGACTACACTCGCTCATCTAGAAGTGTTCTACTCGCTTAGTGGATACACTTGCTCAACAAGA